CCACCTAGGAAAATCCTGTGAAACCCCTCTCCCTTTCTACAAAAGGGAAAATGCCACTGCATGATTGCCATAGTGCAATAAATATTGTGGCGTTGAATACTGGTTGTGTTGTTTTTCCCCCCCTGCATAATACCATACCGACTATTTCTAATCCATGATTTGTGCCTTCTGCAAAGATAGATGTGTTCAGCATCAGGTTATAGATAAACTGATAATGGTGTCATTTAATTAAAGTGACAAGCAAACAACAGTAACTTGGCAGTTTAACTCTGCGGTAAATGTAGAAAGTGATTGCAACCTTAAAGGTGCCCTAACTGACATGCCAATGTATTTTCAAAAAGATTTTTAAAGGATTTTTCTTTCTTTCTTTCTTGAATGACAGTATGGATTGAAAAACTATCCTGCCAGACAAATGGTAGAAGGCAGTGATTTATAAAGAGTCCTATGTGGGATTGTTTAAACCAGAGGGCTGCTACTAGATTATTAAGAAAAAGAAAACCAGGAAATCACGACTTAGAGGTGCAGGGGAGACAGTATAAAGAGGCAGCAGGTATGGCAATTTCTCCATAGACAAACCGACTAGACCAAACTAGTGGTATGCTGGCACAGCCAGCACTGTAAATATGAATAAATGCTAGTGGCATGGATATTATTTGTTATTGTATTTATTTATTTGATAAAGACAATAGGTATAAAAATAAACATGAATATGAATGAAATGGGTACAAATAAATAGGGACAGTAGGACAGGGACGGTAGGCACGATGGTGCACTTATGCACACCCCCTTTACAGATCTCTTAGGAATGGGGTGAGGTCAATCGTTGTCAGTTTAAGGTAACAACAGAGTCAGGTAGAGCATTCCAGGCATTGACCACTCTGTTGCTGAAGTCGTATTTTCTGCAATCAAGTTTTGAGAGGTTTGCATTGAGTTTGTATCTGTTGTATGCTCTTGTATTATTGTGGATGAAGCTGAAGTAGTCATTGACCGGTAAGACGTTGTAGTGGATAATTTTGTGTACTACACTTACGTCCGACCGTAGGCGGTGTAGTTCTAGATTGTCTAGGTTGTGCAGAATACAATGTCTTTTCCCTTTTCTTCTCTTTGAAGTATATTCTGTTCCTCCAAGAAAAGAACCAAATATTCCATTTACAAAGGCAATTTTCTTCCCACCCACCCCCAAAAAACTGTTAACATTGTAATCTAGAAAAATGGAAAGCATTAATAAGAAATTGCAATTAAAATGAACATTTTGGCTTAAAAGGAATATTTAACATACATGGATATGGATTATGGTTCCTTCCGAAATTGTTAATCATGATGGGAATGATCTAATATTCTGCACCTATTAATACAAATGATGATATATATGCTAGTATATGTTTTGCTTTCCTGTTACATGTATCTTCTAATTGTGCTGGATTAGATAAATCCCCAATCATAATTCTGGGAGTCATAATCCCAGACATAATTAATAGCAATAGCATTAACACTTATGTAGCATCACATAGTGCTTTACAGCACTGTCTATATGGTTTTACAATGTCAGCATATTACCTCCAACAATCTGGGTCCTCAGTTTATCAACTTCAGAAGGCTGGAAGGCTGAGTTAATCTTGAGCCCCATCAGGATTGAACTCCAAACTGTATGCAGAGTTTGCCTGAAATACTGCATTTTAACCACTGTACCACCAGGGCTCCTATATCTATATGGAACCAAGTTGAGGAATCTTCTCAAGAAACAATTTTTTTAAAGAAAAGAACTATTTTAAGCAAGGAATAAAACTGAATTAGTAGTATCAGCCATCCATGACATTGCTGATCTCACTGTATCTAAAAAAAGACTTTTCATCTTTTGAAGAAATTGATATATTATTGATATAGTGTTGACTTATCTTCCACAAGCATTACATTATAGTTCTGTGGGAAGGGGAAAGAAACTAAATAAAGCATAGCACATTGAAATCTTGATTTATAGATCTCACTTCATTGGACTCTGCAATTAATGCAATGAGTTTCTGCTTCACAAGAGTTATATATGCTAATATTGTTACACAAGCTACATCATATGTAAAATTGTTACTTCATTTGCATAAGGATATCATTATCGATTGATGTGAGTTCTTCATAATGATGTAATCATGCAAATGACAGAAATTGTTATAATAACCATATGTAATTATATTTGTCAATAATAGCACACCTCCCCAAATAATCCATTTAAGTAAGGTTTCACTTTAGTCTAAATCCTCTGAATGTAAACCCTGAAGAGAAGTTGTTCTCTATCTTCCTTCTTTCCTCAGAATCATTCCTAAAAACTAAAAAAAAGGGGGTTGGAGTGGGGAATTGGCTCTTCCTTGTACTATTGAATGGTAATTTGCCCCTGCAATATACTCATTCCTCATCTGATTATATTAATCCACAGTTTTTGGGTTGGATTATTTTCCAATTGAAATTCTTGATTTTCCCAAGAAAATGCACCACTCAAGTATAACACTGAGGTGTTATATGATATGTAACAGAGTGATATTTTTCTGTGAGTGTCTGTATAAATACTCAAAGTTGTGATGAAGAGAAATAGAATTAGCAATAGTCCGGTTGATGACAAGAGAAGTGATTCTTTTGTGCTAACTTTCACATGCACACATCCAGCTTTATTTTCAATATTTCCACTTCTAAAAAAATTCTTCCTAGTTACATTTCACCTCGGTGAATCATTTCTCCGAGAATTTACTGTGTGCCCATGCCAGCAATTTTTCTACTGAAAACAGAAGCAGTTTTCTATGATTCAGCCATGGTGTGTGTTTTTTCTCTCCCTGTTTTGTATAAGTCAGCATCAGAGAAAATGTAGCAAAACTGTTAACCTAGGAATATCTCAAAATGAAAAATGCTTCTGTTTCAACCCAGAATAAATTGTAGCGATCGGGAAACTTTCTGAAACAATTTTGGATTTAGTAAAAGTGAAACCAGTTAAATTTGGTTGTTTTGGATGTGGATGGAACCACATCAGATATGGGTTGCTCACGGTTCAGTCGGGATTAGGTGAACCAGTAGTTGCAGCGACGGGAGGCTCTGCCCACCCCCCAAACGCTTCTGCGCATGCGAGAAAGAGCGAGCGTGCCGGAACCGGTAGTAAAAAAATTGGCAACCCACCACTGAACCACATTTACAAAGCAAGAAGGGCAAGGCTACTTCATGCTCATCCTCTCTCTCTTTCACCCCTTAATAGTTGCTAGTGTGTATTTTCATCAGCCCAATTTTACCCAATCTTCCCAGCATGACTTCTCTCCTTCCTTCCCTCTCAGCCACTTCCAAACATCTCCTTTCAACCATAGCCAACACATCCTGTAGCTTTGAAGAGATCGGAAATACAAAACAGTTGGAAGGAATTGGGTGTTATTTCAAGATATATACAAGATTTTATAAGTTTACATCTCTGAAAAGGCTAATGCAGCATCAATGTTTTAGATTTTTTTTTTTTTTTTTATTGTAAATGT